TATTTTGATCATGTCTTGGTAACGAAGCTTCGGTTTCCCTACATTTCACTTCCCCAAACTCAGCTGACCAGATAATAGCTGCTTCGGCATCCACACGGCACACATGACGGAGCCACCTCAGGTGTCTCAGCAAAAGTATGCAGTCCACTGCATACATCCCAGTTTGGCGCAACACTTACGTGTACACAACTCTGTCGCACCTATCAATGCGCAGAATCCATCGCAAACATTGTTGATGGAACCGCTCGTGATATCGCACATCCCGCCGGTACATCGTCCACGTTTCACTGCCGTACAGAAGAACAGACAGCACCATGGATTTGTACACCATCAGCTTCGTGCCAACGGTAAGTTGATGGTTGTTCCACATGGTACTTTAGCTTCCCGAATATCGTCACTGCCCTCCAGCCGCGGATACGCAGCTTACTGTGTAGCTGCTCGTCAGTCGACACCATAATCCCAAAGTAGCAGAAGCGGGAGGTGGTTTCCACCAATTCATCATCAATGCTGATTCGCAGCACAATTGCAGATCGCATCCCCAGTGAAGGCTGAAACAGACCGACAGTTTTGTTCGGGTTGATGGTGAGCCCGAATTTGGCCGCCGTTGAAGCCACAGCACTAGTCATGTACTGCAACTCACCAGCGCTGTGTGCAAGTAAAACACAGCCGTCAGCGAACAGCAACATACGGATAGTTATCTCACAGACCAGGGTTTTCGCATAGAAAAGACGGATGTTCAGGAACCCACCATTAATACGGTGCTCCACACGAACACCGTAAGCACAAGACATCATTGCATGAAGATAAATATTAAACAGGGCAGGAGATAACACTCAGGGTGACTCATACCAGAGACAACTGCAAAGTCATTCGAGGTATCTCCACTTAGCTGTATACTAGCCTGCATACCACTGTACAGATATTCAATTACTTAGAAACGTATGCGGGCAATCAAACTTATCCAATACCCGCCAAAATGCTTCGCCGTTCACCACATCAAATGCCGTAGTGAAAACAACAAAAAGCGAGTACAACGGTTGGTGCCGTTCTCTGCACTTCTTCTGCAACTGACGAGCCGCAAACACCATATCTATAGTGCTGCGATCCGAACGGAATCCACATTGCACTTCCGCCACGTTAGGTTCCACAACCTGACTGACGAGGCGGTTGAGCAGGATTCGGGCAATCACCTTGCCCACACAACTCAGTAAGTTGATGCCACGATAATTCGTGCAACATTGCGTGTTCCCTTCGCATTCTTGAAGTCGAGGAATACAGTTATTGTCGGTCTGCGATATGCGTGGCGCTGATCTAGCACCTGCCGCAAAGTGAATATATGGTCTATACAGCCACGTTCTGGGAGGAAATCGGCCTGCTCGTGCCTAAGCCGAGATTCCCATGCCGCAGTGAGGCGACGAACCAGAATAGAGGCCAGTAATTTTGTCACAACTGGTGTTAGGCTGATACTCCTGTGGTTAGAACCGTCTGTGCGAGTGCCCTTATTGTATATTGTCACTATAATCGATTCGTTACAATTAGCCGGGACACTTCCTTCCAGATACGTTCGAATAGGGAGCTCAGTGCTTTGTAGAGGACCTCACCTCCATCCTTAAATAGTACAAGCGGGAGGGAATCTGGGACAGCAGTAAGAAAACGATTGAGGGCTGTGATCGATGTTTCGGACCTCAGCCTCCGATGGAGCCTCTAAACTAACCGTCCATGGCACGTCTTGCAGCAGCTGAGTAGGAAGAAGTCTGGGAGCAGATGGCCATGAAAATCTTCTGCAGCGAGCCATATCGCGCTCTTTATTGTGTATCAATGCACCCGCGCTGTCTTTGATTGTCTCACGGACGCCTGCTTTCCTGAGACCAGTGGTGTGAATCAGATGGAAAAGCTTGCGATAATTGCCTACTGCTACTGCCTACTACATTTCTTGAGCACGACTGGTCCAACAGTCTTACTTGTCAGCACGAAGGCTCTGCTTTAGTTCGGGCCTAGTCCGTCTGGTCACATCGTGCTCAGAGCCAGTCAGGAGTTTTCTCCTGATTTCCGACAGGTTCACCGACCTCCGGGAAATCTAGTGACTGGTGCGGTAATGACGGACAGTGCCACAAGCAGGTGTTCCTGCGTAGTGCATGACGGCCGAGATCTTATTCCACTGAAGCTCAGGTCATTAGGAAAAGACAGCGAAAATTCGTTACACAGTGCGTCTTGATAGGCTTGCCTGACCGAGGACTGAGACAATTTCTCAGTGGCCAATCGGAAGAGAAGCTTAGTGCGCCTCCCGGTAAAGTTCATGGAGAAACGACAGCGTACCAAGGCATGATCAGAGTCGATACAGGTATTCCAGTACGAGCGGTAATCCAGCATGGAATCACGCCATTTGTAACTTATGGCCATGTGGTCAATTTGGGTCCATCACTGGCCAGCTACAGGAAGACGCTAAGTCGCACTTCGGCGCCCACTGTGTCTAAAACCAGCGCTACTAAGAAACAACTGGTGCTCCGCACACAATTGCAGCAGACGCTCGCCGTTGTCAATCCGTTCGGAGTTAAGCCCATAATTACCACCCAGCTGAGTTACTGAAGAGTTCAGACGACCTACTTATGCGTTCATATTCCCTGTAAGTATTATAATATCTGAACTAGTGGCACTGCGTAGTTAGGTGTTCAGTTCGTGATAGAATGTGTCCTTGGCTGCATCAGAACTTCAGTCAGGGGGAGCATAAGCGGAAATCACAAACAAACAGCGTTTTGTTTTACTTCGCGAATTCACCTTAGCTGATGTCGTCAAACAGGCTGCACACAAACGTCTGTTCACCGGAATCCAATCAATCAACGATGGCTCAGTCTTGAAGCTGAGAATGATACCTACAGCAGCTTGACAAGCGAGTGCTGAATCAGCGTCTCCGGATGCATGCAATTAATAACGGGAGAACAAGCCGGGCGCAGTTAATGCAATAACCCCATTAGGGTCATTGATCCTAGTTTCGGACACACAACACAAATCAATACCCAGTGTGTCCAAGGTGCGTACGAGTGCAGCCTGTTGACCTGTTTGTCTTAGAGTGCGAACGTTGAATGTCGCCATGGAAACGGGATAGAGTGGCCTTATAAGGGACTTTTGCTGATGGGCGTCTGATAGGTGCGGTGGGATGGTGGCTGCAGATGGTTCTACTCCGGTGGCACTTCGGTTGCTGTCAATTAAGCTGGGAATTATAGAAGGAAACTTAGTAATGGGGTCGGGATGGGAGTAAGATACAGGGGGAAAAGGGAGGCGCCAGCAGTGGCATGTTTTCGCTTATCCGCCCTGCTGTATGCAGCACATAAGGCGATCCTTGATAATCTGCACGACGGCCGATGTAGGATGAAGTTTATGTTTGAAGAAAAAGTCATGGTGTTATGTGGGCTGAGATACAGCCAGGGCGCCCAGATCTAGATAGGAGAACGATTAGGGTCGTCAACCAAAGCCTTTGGCTCAAAAGCCTGTCCGCAAGGCAGTGGGGAGGTGGAAATGCTTTAGTTTTACAGAAATGGATGCCATCCCATTTCGACCCCCCAACCTGTATCACGAGACTGAGTTTGTCTGACGTCTAACCATTGAACTCTAGTTCAATGGATCAATGAAGTGCGCAAACCTTAACATTGATCCCTGACGTCTCTGGTAGTAGTCCTCAAAGCACCCGAGGATACCAAACAAGGTGGCGTAACAGAACACATGGTTACACAAAGCGTTGCACTACTTTTCAATTCAGTCGTGAAGGCGAACGAAAGCTACTATAAATGAGGCAATTGATAATATTCAACACGGCATATAACACAGAGAATCGTGGCTGTACAATTCTTGTGGGCGGCAAAAGATGCAGCAATAATGAGCTCACTGAATGAAAGTACCAAGGTGACCCTAGAGAAAGAGTGAAATTAAAGCCCAAATGTATGTGATAACGAATACGAGGTAGTGGCACAGTGGCATCACGAAGGAATAAGTCAGCGTTGATTTACATAGACACAAACCCTGTAAGCAAGATAGGACAATGACCATTGGCTTTAGTGGAAACGAGGCATCTACTACGCACCGACAAGGAGATAAAACTAAAGTGGAAACTTATGGAATACAACAACTCGGAAAGTAGGAAGGGAAGTAGCGGCCGCTGCTAAATATCGACGAAGAGGAAGAGTAAGGACCCAGTGTGCTAGTGACTGCTAGTGTAGGATAAGCGGGCAGTAATTGATTGGCGACTAGTGGTTCTGGTGACCCGATTTTGATTCATCGGCAGGTGGCCGAAAGGAGTACAAGCTTGCCTTGTAATCCGGAGGTCACCGGTTCAAATCCGTTTAGGTGCGGGCAGACTCGCGGTATATGCAACGCACACACGACCACGGTGGTCACATGGTACCGAAACGTCGCTACGGTGTGTCGCTGAACTTACCTCAAAACCCCGTAATGCTTCCTGACTCTCGGCGAAGCGCAAAAGATCGAACGAGTACAACACGTCGCCACCAAGTTGATCCCCAGCTTGAGAGGCTTATCGTATGAAAACCGGTGCATGAAACTTGGGCTCTACACCTTGTCGTATCCCCGTGTTCGAGTGCATCTTATTATGACCTACCGTATTTTACATCTCGGTCATTTCCCCATGCTGAGGTCGTTACTCCACTTGCGAGTACCATGCACCCCACGTGGGCACAGGTACAAACACGTGGTACCTGATCTGAAGAAAATCCCACACCCCGTGTTTCGAGCGGAGGGTTGTGCACGCCTGGAACAGCCTGACAGAACACGTCGTCGAGGCGAAATCTGTGCAGAAATTCAAATCTTTGTTGGATTTACACTTCGCTAACATACGTTTCAGAGAACGGTTGCCACTTGACAACGATATCACCCACTTGTGACTCACTGTGTGAACAAGCATTTTGTGTGCTACAGAAGTTGCTGAACCATCTCAGGATAACCACCGGACGTGTTTATGTATTATTTTTTAAATGTTTTTGATTATCACCCGATGGAGTTGTACAGAATTATTTTCTACTTGCTCCAAAATACAGTATTCAGTATTCAACGATCCACTCAAGAACACACACGTGAATCTGCTACCGATTCAGTTTACTCAAAACTTGAAGAAGTAAAGGCGCCAAATAGTGATCATGCAATTGTGCATACAAAAGCAATTAGTAAAAATGACGGGCAGTCAGGGTTATAAAAATGCACGCGGCCCTGAGTCGATCATAGGAGAAAGTTTGTCTAGGCCTCTTCATCCAAGTCTTCCTCAAATTCTCCTTCGTCTTCGGCAGTAGCATCTTGATACTGCTGATATTCGCTAACCAAATCGTTCATATTCGATTCGGCCTCGGTGAATTCCATCTCGTCCATACCTTCACCGGTGTACCAATGAAGGAAAGCCTTTCGACGAAACATGGCAGTAAACTGTTCTGAAATGCGCTTGAACAGCTCTTGGATTGCGGTACTGTTACCAATGAACGTAGCCGACATTTTCAGGCCGCGAGGTGGAATGTCACATACTGCGGTTTTGACATTATTTGGAATCCACTCGACAAAGTAGCTGGAATTCTTGTTTTGAACATTAAGCATTTGTTCATCAACTTCTCTCATTGACATTCGACCGCGGAATATAGCGGCGACAGTGAGATATCTCCCATGGCGTGGGTCGCATGCTGCCATCATATTCTTGGCGTCAAACATTTGCTGGGTCAGTTCAGCGACGCTGAGAGCACGGTATTGCTGACTGCCGCGGCTTGTCAAAGGAGCGAAACCAGGCATAAAGAAGTGTAAGCGAGGGAAGGGAACCATGTTTACAGCTAGTTTGCGCAAATCGGCGTTCAACTGTCCAGGGAATCTTAGGCAAGTAGTAACACCAGACATCGTTGCGCTGACTAGGTGGTTTAGGTCCCCATAAGTTGGAGTAGTGAGTTTCAGCGTTCGGAAACAGATGTCATACAGCGCTTCATTATCAATGCAGAAAGTTTCGTCTGTGTTTTCAACCAGTTGGTGGACAGAGAGTGTAGCGTTGTATGGCTCCACAACAGTGTCAGATACCTAGGACGATAAAGTAATGGTGTGAAACATACCTTTGGCGAGGGAACAACAGAGAAAGTATTCATGATCCGATCGGGATATTCCTCGCGCACCTTGGAAATCAATAATGTGCCCATTCCGGAACCAGTGCCACCGCCCAGTGAGTGGGTAAGCTGAAAACCTTGTAGACAATCACACGACTCAGCCTCCTTGCGTACAACGTCCAGAACAGAATCGCAGAGCTCGGCGCCTTCCGTGTAGTGACCCTTAGCCCAATTATTACCAGCACCACTTTGACCGAAGATGAAATTATCGGGACGGAAAAGCTGTCCGAACGGACCGGCACGCACGCTGTCCATAGTGCCGGGCTCTAAATCAACCAATACAGCCCGGGGGACATATTTGCCTCCTGTGGCCTCGTTATAGTAGACATTGATGCGCTCTAGCTGCAGATCGGAATCTCCATGATATGTGCCGGTAGGATCTATTCCATGTTCATCTGAAATAACTTCCCAAAACTAGAAAATGCGTAATGCGGCAAAAATAGACTCACCTTAGCACCAATCTGATTCCCACACTGACCGACTTGCATATGAACAATTTCGCGCATATCGCAAAATCTTCGAACAAAATAGTAGTATGCGTCCGGTCAAGAATTTTGAGTTCCTCCGCGTTCAGTGCTTAATGGTCGTAATAGACCTGCAGAACTGGAAGGAGGTTGGATGAACCATGTAGTAAAAGATCGGGGTTAATATGAAGATGTGGATATCGCTAGCTGGCAAACAGGTAGAGAGAAACAAAAGTGAGATAGTCAAGGTAAGAGTGTCAAAGATAGGACCGGGAAATAATAAGGCAAGGCACCAGCAGTAAGCCGGTACGCAGTACTGAGGCCTCGCTGCCGCGCAACCACCAACTGTCGCAGTGGGCTAAGGATACTGAGGTCGTCCGGTCCCCTACGCGGCCTCAATCCGCTTGTGATCCTTAAGGCACGGGCCAGCGAATGAGCTAAACAATAACATGTGGCAACGCTCGTCCATACTTGGTGTCGTCAAGTTATGTAACGGGTACGGCGTTCGAATGGCGTGTTTTACGAACATTTGTGGGCCTGTCACAATATTTAGATTTTTAACAGGCGCTGTCCTTAGCGCTACTGACACCTTTCGTCAGCATGAGCTTGTTGAAGTGCACAACATTCGATGGACCCGGTGCACCAGGCTTCCTGATTCGATACGTTAAGTCAGAAAGTACGCCCTCAACAACAGACGGGCTTTCCCAGTCGCGATGGAATTTAGCAGGGATGCCTGTTGGTACTACTAATGCCTTGAGCCAAACGGTGTCACCTGGCTCAAATGGACTCCCGAAGGCCTTGCGATCAAAATACATCTTCCGGTGGCGCTGTAAAGTTTGCAAATACGCCTGTGCCAATTAGTGTGCACGTAGCAGACTGGACTGCATTCGACGTATATGATCTGCAGCAGTGTCTGATGGCATGCGAAGCTCGCGCCTCGTCATCATTAGATGCGGTGCTTGGCCAATCGAAGGATGTACAGGTGTTCGATAGTCTAGCAAACAAGGAGGTAGGGATGTAGGTCATTCACAGGTGTCTCGCTGTTCAGTAAGGACTTTAGAAACGATTTCAGCGTACGATTTGCGCGATCAACCAGCCCATTCCCTTACGAATGATATGCGGTCGTTCGTGTCTTCCGGATGGCACAAAGCACTTAGGAGTGTGCTTTCGAAGTTGGCTCTACGACCGGAGTGCAACTAAGATGGTGAATTCCATTTTACCACCCGGGTATTGCAGAGAGCTTTTGCTACACTCTATGCGTCTGTAGTTTGCAGTGGGACCGTTTCGCATCATTGGGTGAGGTAGTCCACCAGCACCAAAAATTAATTCTTCTGGCGGTCTCTGGTAAGGGACCAATGATGTCGATGGCCACCAGCTCATTCGGGAACTCCACCATCATTGGCTGTATGGTCCCACGGCGGGTCGTTGTCGGGTTCTTGCTCCTGCAAAATGGTACACGACTAGCATTAGATCGCAATATCTCGTCTCAAGTGTGATCACCAAAACCGAGAACGAATTGCCTCATATGTCATATTTTGTAAGGCATCACACAATATTTTAATAAACTCTGCATTACTCCCAGGGTTGTCGCCGTAAAAATAACTATCGCAGATAGGCCGGCAAGCTTTGGAAGCACATAATGATGCCTGATATGCGTAAATGAGGCCGCAGTGACCAGACATTTGGTTTCCCAAATTGCACCGGAAAGATCTTGATGTATGGGTCTGTCCTAGCCTCGTGAGATGCAACTGTAAAGCAGACGGTTGATTACATTCCGGTCCATTCCTCGGTCTCTGGGGCATCGGGAATGACGGCAGATATGCATCCCATCGTGCATGGTTTCTGACAGGTCGACGCGATGAAGCATCAACGTTTGCATGCTTTACACCAGGGCGTTGCTGACATTCGAAATCGTACTACTGTAGTTGTTATTTCTAGCGCGCAATCATCCCGTCAGGATCACGAAAGTTCTGCAACCAAGGTAAGGACTGGTGATCAGTACATACGGTGAATTTGCGAACTAAGGATAGTGCCGGAGCTGCATGATAAAATGCACCGAAGTAAACATTTATTTTTGCGTTGTGCAGTAATTACGCTCCCGCTCCAAAATGTTCTGCTGGTGTTCTGTTCTACCGGTATGCGCTGTGACAGAACTGCGTCAAAACCAGTATCGCTAGCATCCGTGCCTAGGACTAAGGTGTCTGAGGAAGGCAGTGCACCCGGAGGTTTCAACACTGGAGCTCCGAATAAAGCAGTTCGCATCGTCGAACGATTTTTGATGTGTTGCTTCTCAGATAAAGGCTCTTTCTGCCGTCAAAAGTTCATTCAGAAGTGCGGAGACAGTCGCGAATACACAGTAGTAGGAGGTGAAACCGAGAAAGCTGCGCACTTCGTCGGTTGTTTCTGGGATGCGCCACGAGCGGACGCGCTAGAATTTTGCCGGGTCGCAGCACACTCCTTTAGATATAGTGACCTAGATAGGCTACTTGCTTTTCCAAGAACAGGCAGTTGGATGGCTTTGGTTTTAGCCACAGACGTAGAAGCCGATCCTAGACTAGAGAGAGACTTTTGTTGTGTTTATCCTCCGTTGTACCGTGAACGAAAACATCGTCAAGGCAGAATAGACAAGTTCAGACAATGTGGTGTGCAGCTGATACGTATTAGTCACAGTAAGTAAATGTATGAGAATATGCTCTATAGGGCTCAAAACCTAGGTGTGGAAAACAAGTCTGGGCAGAGCACAGTGTAGTCAAAAACACAGGACATCTCCACATGCACTCACTGGCGACAAGATGAGCTTGGTGTGTGTGTGTGCGTGCGTGAATGTGTGGTGTCCATCCACTTGAGTGGATTAGGGCCGGACCTTTAGTGCGGATGTGACTCCTCACCTCCATAGATATTGTCACAGTCCCGCCTGAGAACGATCCACTAGTCTGAGAATACGGGCCGATCGCGTCGGTAACGTTTCGCCAGAATGTACATACGGTTTGCCCTCAGTGTCTGGTTCTTTGTCTGCGCAAAATTCGGTATGCGCCTCGGTCGGTGTAGCTGAACTCCGTGGACAAACGTGGTCTAAGTGCCGACGAATAAGTCGACCGTCTGGTAGTGGGACGTCAATTTGGTTTCCCGCAGAATGCATTACGGTGACAGGTTGCTAGCTTGTTGCTTGTGACAATTTAGTGTAGCCCAAGTTATTTTCTCAAAAATCACATCTTTGTTTAGTTCTGGTGAAGACAGTGATCTCTCTTATCCCTAACCGTGGATTAGGAAACAGTAGATTAAGCCAGGGCGACCCATAACCCTAAGGATCATAAGCCTGTCTTGTGATAGGATGACGCGGGTTCGAGCTTGCGTAGGGATCAGGTAACCCTCGCAGTATCCTTAGCCCACGTGCGACTGTTGGTGGTTGCGCGGCAGTGAAGCGTCAGTACTGCGTACCGGCGTACTGCTGATGCCTTTTTAGATTCAGCTTTGTCCTGAGGCTCCTGCCATACATTAGCTCTGTAGGAGACTTACCTGTACTCTCAGTGGGTGAAATGATAGGCAAATAGGTACCGATCCAGCTTTGTTTGTAGGGTTCCTATATGCTGTTTTAACAGTCCTTGCTTCACTGCTTACACTGCCCGCTCTACCAACCTGTTCGACGCGGGATGATAAGTCACCGATTTGCGCTGAATGCCGTTGCAAGTGACGAATCGATTGAACTTTGTGCTAAAAGTAGCCAGTTATCCGTGCATATCGCCTCCGAAACACAGACTGTGGCGAATGATGAATGCATTTTAACAATTTTGGACGTCGCTTTCTTAACGGGATACAAATGAGCCCACTTGGAGTGGGTGTCGATGAGTAACATAAACCTGGTTCTATGTGTTGGGCCGAAGTAATCAGCGTGGATCCGTTGCCACGACTGGTCGGATCAGCGTCGCGGATGTGCTGGACCGGGGGATTTACTGCGTTGGTGTGGCTGACAGGAATAACAATTCTTCAGGATGTTCTCGTCATCTGGATCTATTCTTCGCCACCAGCAGTGTACCCTCGCTAATGCTTTTATTCTCAAGACACCTGGATGTATCCCGTGTAGCTCGTGAAGGATCTGTGCACGAGCCTTGCTAGGAAGGACAAACCACCTCTAGCCTTTGTACAGCCAAGTGCTGCCTGCAAGGCAGCAGGGACCTGGGAAATTGTCTTGACTTCTAACCGTTGGATGAAGAGTCGATCTCGTCCGCCAGGTTGTCAGGACTGACGTCGCATGCGAGTACGAAGTCACCGGGAAGAGTATTCTCGGCTACCCTCAGCTGGTTTAGCCCGTCTGCCTGAAGGTTGACCGGGTGTGGCCGCTGCTGCGTAAGAGCAGCTTCTTGGAGCCACAGGTGAGAGCTGGGTGACAGTTGGAGACCAAAGATAGGCGGACTACTCTGGAGGATAAGGCAGGTCCCCTACCAGAGGTGCTACACCCCCCTGGCATCTTGGAGACCCCATCTACGAGCTAATGGCAGGAAATGAGAAATGGGACAGGCACGCCAATCAGCTAAGGCCGAATTATGGCAAGATTCAAAGTCCTACAGAAATACCAATTCTACCGCGGGACATCCTGATAGGCACGGTTGGTTTGTAAGACGAAGCTGAGCGGCTAGGTGGATCACAACAGGAGCCGAAAGTAACAAAAGACGCCCAATGCAGGCCGACCCGAAAGCGGTGACGAATACAATGGTTACAAGTTGACCCCAAGGAGTAAAGCTATGAACAAAGTCAAGTTCGAACGGTAGGCAAGCAGACTAAATTCGAAAGGGGAGATATTCGGAGGCTGCAACCTAAAAACGTGACATGGTTTCGAGACGTAAAGTGAGCCTGCGGTAAGTCACGCGGAAAGCGGATGAAATCAGTCCGTCATCATGACACAGGCTGCTGCGCGAGAGACGTGAGTGAGCTAGCCAGTGCGGACGGCTAACAAGCTTGATATATGTCCAGACAACTGGCGTGAGTCAGCTCAGAAACGTTCAGTTGGAGATGATAGCACGTGACCTATAAAAGTAACCGCGTTCTGTTCCTAATACACTTCGATCTAGCAGGCCTCGGTGTTTTGTTTCTTACCCGACTGAGTTGGCAGCGCAGAGAGTATAAGTAAAGGGCAGCGTTGCAA